GGGCAGATAAATGGCACTTATGATCAACATCAGTAACAGTAGTTTGCAAATAGGTTTTGTATAAATGCCAATGATGTGTCGATTGTTTGTTTGTAATTAAGCATTGTAAGTCCGCAGACATACCGCTGTGCTACTGGGGGCTCTAGAATATGTTGAATACTTAATATAGAATAAGATGCTACTTTTTCAGAATATGCCAAATAGTTGATATGGAATAGAACGCTACTCATCCAGAATATATCAAACAGTTAATATAGAATAAGATGCTACTCATTCAGAATATGTCAAACAGTTAATATAGAATAGAATGCTACTCGTCCAGAATATGTCAAATAGTTAATATGGAATAGAATGCTACTCGGATTCTAGCATTGTAAGTCCGCAGACATACCGCTGTGCCACTGGGGGCTGATGTGTCGAATAGTTCAGGTGGGTTCTCCAATTGTCTAAATCTAACACATATCTTTGTATCAGTACTTAGCTTAATAAAGCAGAAAAACTTCTCCAGTCTCAAACTATGAAATAATAGTGTTTTTTTTGTTTTGTTTTTGTTTGCTGAACCACAAACTTTGGAAATAAGTTTTAATAAGGAGTAAAACATACCGTATATGAAAAATTCAATCTTAACGTTCTTATTATGTTTACTGTCTTTTGTTCCTTGATGTATAGATAAAAAACACAACAAACTTACCGGACATCTGGATAGGACTAAACGCTTTGGGATACGATGAGGGATTTGAATGGAGCGACTCTACGCCTGTTGCATTTTTACATTGGGCTGGAGGAGAGCCCAACAACTGGAATGGACAGGAAAAATGTGCTAATGTGTTTGCGTTAGGTAACATATTTTGTTTTTATGTTTTGCCACGTTTAGTCGAGCTAAACGCAATTTGTAACTTGTTAATTTGTGATGCAATTTCTCACGTTTTTCCAACTTACAATCAAAATGCAACTTGCTTACAAATACTTTTAAAACAACATCTATGACGTTTATTTTACATTGAAAAAAATGGATGTTGAAAGATACCTCTAATAATGAACCATTAACACTAATTTCGAAATCTAGTAAAATGATAAAAACCCTATAACCCGAGCGCAAACTGAAGAAAGGTCCACCTTTCGAAAGCACTTGGGTTATACAGTTTTTATGATTTTATATCAAGACTTCTTGCACCTACGTATTTTTTGACATTCTAAATGTGTTATTATTTTCTTTCCTGTCAAGGTGATTTATAGCAGTGTTGTTCTTAGTTTATATATACACTAGGTTATTTACATTTGGTTTAGATAATTATTCTGTTCCGAAGAACAACAATACTGACTTATGGATTCTTTTTTTCAATGTTAATATATATGATCAATGAGTATAGATAAATAAACGTAGGCCATAATATACAGTAGGTTAAACCTGTACTGTCTACTTTAATATAAGGAACTTGCATGCAAAATCACGATTTTGTGTATTGCTGAAGAAAGAAACATCTTAATTTTTTTCTTAAGAAGTAATTCGAATTATACTTGGAGAGATTATTCTTAAGCCAAGGCTGTAAACTGCTTTGATGGTTAACAACTTTACTTTCAAAATATTCTAGTCGTCAGGTGCCAAGTTATTATCACAGTATAAATGCACAGTATAAGAATTTCAATTACAAATAAATATACAAAATCTATGTTATTTATCATACATCATCCCACTTAATGTATACGCAACGCAAAACGCGATTGGTGCTTTGCCAAAAATTTAGCTAAAATAACAAATTTATTATCAAGCGGGATTTTCATCATTACTACCTTCTAAATACTTAACAAAAATATTATTTAAAAACGTATATATTAAGAAGATTTTGCCATAATGCAAGAAGTTCCTAAGTGTACTTAAGAAAATCGAATAAATAAATCTTCCATATTCTATTAGTTTTAAAATCATAAATAATATTCAACGTTAAAATTGGTACACAAATAAAAACATTTTATTTAGGCCTATCTATAGCCTTCAAAAAGTTGAC